CCCCCCCGCATCCCCGCACGGGCGGGGCGGCCGCCACCCCAGGCAAAATTCCACCCCAGAACCCGGGGACAGGGGCTGGGGAGGGAAAATGGGGAAAACAAGAACCTGGCGCCCCTACATGCAAGCTTCCCGATGGGCCGCCGCCGCTGTCGCCGCCGCCAAACGGTTTCAAATCCTTGCGGGCCGCCAGCGTCTCCGCCGCCCTGCAGGCCGGGGGCGGGGATTTCCGCGCGCGCATTCCCCGCCCCCTTTCCCACCCTTTCGGCGGCGGCCGGCGGCCGGCGGCGCGCCGTTGCCATGGCGACACTGGGACCTATGACAGCCACCGTCCAGCAGTTCGGAGGCAGCGACTTCCGGCGCTCGCGTTCCTCTGCCCCAGCGTTGCCAAGGGGGCACAGCGCCGTTGCCATGGCAACGGTCGGGTCCCCGGCGCACAGGTTCCAGTTCGTGTTCCTGCCTGGAGGTGGCTTCTAGGCAGGTCCCGGGACCTATACCTGGACCATGCTGTCCCCCAGCACCACCAAGAATAGCTTGGGGACACTGGGAGGGCTGTGGAGGAAGGACATCCAAAGGGCAAAGAAAATGGGATTACTGGAGGACGGTCACTGAAGGGTGTGGCCTTTGTTTGGTCAGAGAGAGGCGCTGAATGAGTCTAAAAACGTGAGAACTTACTGCCTGGTGTTTTTCTCACAACCCAGATGGACATTACCTCTTTTTTTGTTGTTATTTTGGAGGGCGGGTGGGGGGCTCTCAGAACTATCTGAGGTCTGAAAAACCTGACCCCAAATTCTGAAAATACTGAAATAAAATAAAAAAGCTTTTTGATTACCAGTTCTGTGCAGAATAACAAGATCTAGTGGAAAATGTGTTTTTGCCGCTCCCAGAGTCTCCACCTCCCCAGGGCGGGCTCCATGTCCGCATTGCTATGTTGTGGTGGTCTGTGGTCTTCTGTTACATTGCTGGGAAACTCTGAACTATGTTTTTTAAATATACAGGCAGAAACAACATTTAAATTGTGAAAACACTCACCTCTGTTTTTCATCTAATTTCACAACGGGATTCTTTCTTTTGTGTCCATGCAATACACTCAGGGTGGTGCCAAATCAAACTCGAGCACAGCTTGAGGTATCTTTTCAATTTTCCATAAAGAGAAGAGAAGATTTCGTTCATTTTTACCTAGTTACTTTCAAACTCCCAAAGAAGAGTCATATTCTTTCCAAGGGGCTTTTGCAAACCCATCCCACTACAAGTAAAAGCTAACAGTTCTTCATTGTTTCAATGACAAATCATGAAGGCTAAGGGAAAGAAAAGGTGTGAAATGCTTTTAAGAATGTTTAGTTTTTTAAAAGCATAGTTGAACATGTTTATAGGTAACAAATAATTAGTAATCTAGATCATTTGTACTGAGAATCACACACATGCAATTGCGGGACATTGACCATTCAGTGAAGAGGTTTAAAATATGTAACCACGTTGCCGGAAGAACATGAAATGAATTTGACAAATGATGTCTAAATGAACATGAGCAGAAAACTGGAAAAAAAGAGGATCAAGAGGAAAATGCAACGAAGTCAAGTTCATCTGAGAGGAAATAATTGCAGCAGAAAAAAAAATATGACTGAAAGTTAAAAAGTAAAGTAATGTATATTAAGAAAGTAAATTTCTTAAAATATTTTCTCTAATAGGTAAAAGTAAAAAGATGAGAAAATCTTCCTTTTCATTTTCAAGAACTACCAGATTGTCCCTTTTTCACTCATATGTACTTATATATACAAAACAAAAATATTAAGATATGCGTGGTGGGTTTTTATTGTTATGTCCTACATATTTAGCTTGAGCCTGAGCTGCATTCAACCTATATGTCATGTTTAGAGGAGTGGTTGGTGTCTGCTTGGAATCTCCTTACATGAGAACCAAGGGCCATCCTATAACTCATCCTAAGAGATGGTAAGCAGATCTGGTTCAATGACAGTATAGAAACATTGAAGGAAAGGTGGGTAATTCTGCATAAAGCACAGCGCTGACCATGGTTTGACTTCCAGCTCTCCTCCACTTGTTGTAATAAGTGATGCCTCATCCTTTGAGGTGAAGAACTTCCCCTGAAATCATAAAAAGCTATAACTTACCTCCCTTACCCCACCATCACCAACTGCCCACATACCCCAAAATGTATGTCCAAACCAAAGGATTCCCCAAAGGTCTGAATTCCACCCCTGGAGTCTCGGTTCAGAACTCCTCCTCTGTGGGTTTATATCCATTTAAACATTGAGAACAGAAGCCGTAAGTAGCATTTGTATCCCTAATTTCTGAAGACGTCAAACTCAGTACAGTCATCATGGACCTTAACACTGGGCTCCAACAACCTCAGGGCAGGCATTAATAAAAAAGTAGCAGCAGCTGGAATGACTTCATCAAGCATCAAAGGCAGGAAATGAGAATAAGAGTAACACCCTCACCGCTACAAACACTTGGAGAAACATTAATGATGCACACCATGTAATAATTTTGTAAAATAAAGAGCACACACGAGACCCACTCTGTGGACCTTCAGGTGTATTTGGGGGGAAATTGCTGGAATCAGACTCCATTCAGGGACCTCAAGCCATATAAATACTCTTTTTTTAACTGATGCAATATATGTGGCCTAAAAAAATACAGTTTTGCATAGACATTTTATGGCCAGATATCTGTAGCAACCAATTAATATGACTTCTATGTCTAGAAGGATAATAATGTGTCTGCTCAATATATATTTTTTGAACTCTCACATCCTCAGAGAAGCCTTCACTAATTCTCAGACCACCCTTATTCTCTTTCAAAACCCCCTGTTCTTTTTCTTCATTGTATTTATCAAACTTTGTAATAAAATATTAATATCAACCATCCTTTTTTAGATTCCATAGGACAGGAACAACATACGTTGGGTTCACCATTGCAGACCCAATGCATTGCAGGGTACCCAGCATGTAGAGACAATCCATAAATGTTTATTGAATCAAAGAATAAATGCAGATTGCTCTTTTGTGCTTTTCTCTGCACCTGGAGTGGAATACACTCATCACTTCCTAGTTTACAGCTTCCATTCAAGAGGCCTGGAAGACTAACTTTTCTGAATCCAAATTTCTTTCTAAGAGACTAAATCTGATAGGTCTAACTTAATTATAAAGTCAGTTATGAAAATATATACAGAAAATATATACTGAATGTCATTTTTTCTTTGATTTTAAAAAGGTATTAAAATTGAAACATTATTGCCATTGAGAACATTATTTACTATCAGCTACAAAGGACTTCAATGAAAGCAAAAGGTTTGTTTCATAAACAAATAATATTTTACTTCCATTTTTAAAAATCAAATGGTAACATAATTGATGATAATGGAAACATCACCCTAAAAAATAAATTGTTTTTCTTTCCTGTGTGGGGAATTAATTATGCTATATTTCTCATATAGAAAAGGATCTGCTTATTTTCAAAAGGTAAACTTAAAATTAAGTATTAGTCTAGAATAATACTGAACAATGTGAATTCAATTATTCCCTATGTAAAACATGGGAAATATGACATTTTCCTAATTATAAAGATAATTCAGAATGAACTAGGCCTGCATTTTGTTATAAGTATTAAATTTGATGATATCTATATTTTTAACTCCTGCTCTATAAGTTATATTAACTATAGCAGAAACCTATAGGTTACCTCCATTTTGGTTAAAACACTATTGTTTGAGTTTTCTGTTTTATTGCCAGAAGCCGGTCCATCCTTGCTGCTTGACACAGTTGCTGTGTGAGGTTGCAATGGCCCCGGTGAGGTTGAAACGGCCCCTGTGAGGTTGAGATGGCCCTGGTGAGTCTGAGACGGCCCCGGTGAGGATGGGACGGCCCCGGTGAGGTTGAATCAGTCCCAGTGAGGTCGAGACGGCACTGGTGAGGTCGAGACGGCCCTGGTGAGGTCAAGATGGCCCCAGTGAGGTTGAATTGGCCCTGGTGAGGCTGAGATGGCCCCGGTGAGGCTGAGACGGCCCCTGTGAGACTGAGATGGCCCCTGAGAAGCTGCGAAAAATACCACATGAACTCACTCATTTATGGGTAATAAAGACCATTATAAACTGATGAACAAAAATGGATACAGAGGCAGAGCAGCATTGATCAGACTGTCAAACTACAGTGGGAACCCTGGGGAGGGTAAGAAGGGGTAGGAGATCAACCAAAGGACTTGTATGCATGCATATGAGAATAACCAATGGACATAAGACACTGGGGGGTGGGGGAGGCCGGGTGAATGTCAAGGGGGGAAAAAAGGAGACATGTGTAATACTCTTTGTAATACTTTAAGAAATAAAAAAAAAGACATAAGAACAAATGTTACTGGCTTTGGGTCACTGTGGTGAATTTTCAGGCAATTATTTCCACTTACTAGCAAAAATAATCCAGTGTTAACTGTAAAGAGAAATGAAATTTTTCTTTCTAGACTGAGATTTTTTTAATGACATTTTTTTTTCAGATTGTAAAAGTTTTAGCTCTATTACAGGGAAATTAAAAGTTTTAAAGAGGAAAATAAAAATGATGTGTAATCCTATAATTAAAAAAGATGACTGTTAATAATTATATATTTTTTCTCAAATCACATATATTTATATATAATTAAAATTATAGTATATAAAATAATAAAAAGTATATAAATCATTTTAAAGTCTACTTATTCCATCATTAGAATACAACATCATTTGCTTAATTATTCTCCTGTGATTGGATATTAGCAATTTTTGGCTCTTATATCTAATGCCGGGATATATATACATACATCTTGGGTGAAGTTTCAGCTATTTCCAGAAAAGATATTCCTGTGTGTGTGTGTTGGGGGCGGGGGGGGGGGGGGGAACAACAACAACAAAAGGCTTTTGACCAGTACTGTCAAATTGCTTTCCGAAAGTGTTTTTGCAAATTTGTAATCTCCCTCAGGAGTCCCTGAGAGTGGCTGTCTCACATTACTGATTTTTTTCTAATCTGTGCTAGTTGTATGCACATAAAAAGTATCTCTTTAGTTTTCATTTTCCACTGTTAGAAAAATTGAAATGTTAATATCTCTGTCAGTCCTTTCCTTCTATTCTTCTGCAAAGTTTCTCATTAGCCCTTTGTCTATTTTTCTGGGATTTAACACAATATGCGTAGCTTCCACATTTTTATTTATTGTTTCAAAGCTAGCAATGGTTCTGTACACAGTACT